ATATATATATCCATTTTGACGGGTAAAATGCAACCGAGCTTCAACAGGGAAAAAGGAAAAATGCTAGGAAAGCATAATCTTCTGGAACTAAAAAGTGTTTCAGTCTAACAGCATATGATGTTGAATCAGTTGATCCACTTTATTTAACTTGCAAGCGTCATTCAAATGAGAATCTGATGAAGCAACGAAAAGCAATGTAAGTAACTGAAATGCCGGATTTTTTGAGTTTTTAATTGATTGTCTGCTATATTTTGGAAAGAAATGATGAAAAGAAATGTTTGATGCTTAATAGTCCCGAAAGGACATGGATTATTACTTAAATGTGCGTGACGGAGGTATATTTTTCAATCAAACCTGTGTGTTCCATAGATTTCCATAAAATCGACGAATAACGTAACAGTTTTAAAGATGTGAGCTAGTGAATAAGCAGGAGGAAACGCGAATGTTGGGCATCCGAAGACGAGTACTCAATGAACGGGAAGAACGAAAAAGGTTGATTATGTAAAGCAGACTTTATTGAATCCATTTTAAATTATCGTGAATTTTTTGTGCTAGATTACAATGAATTTTACAGCTTGAAATTAAATTTTAATCTCAAAAAGTTGAAACACTGGAATTGCAGGATGCAGATGTTAGAAAGGCACAAAAAAGCAATGAAAGACTTGGAAGGTATAACAATTGCATGGCCCGAGGTTTCTTCCATCTCGTTTTGATAGCCTTTTGAACTTATGAAATTCTTAGTTGATTTGACTGCCTTTGTTCCACTGTCGAATATATTCTGTCTACTGACAATTCACAAAACTAAACTGAACGAGATATCAGCCAGAGCAGATTACGGGACGACGGGTTACGGGGTTACGTGCGAACTATAGAGGACTTGGTAGTTCTATATATATGCTTAAGTGGACTGTTCACTAAAATAATTGAAGAATTTTCTTTTGTAGCATGACAATAAACGTCCGCGTTTGTTTCATACAAGTGCCCAATATCTCGAATTGTTTACTGAAAAAGCGAGAAGTAGTGGGATAAGTCGGCAAAAATTTTTGGAAAATTTCATTAAAGTTGACGGCGCTCAACTACCATATCTCCCTCCTGGTTTTTCGAGTGAATTTATTGAGTTAGTTTTTCTTTCATTTTATGGATTAGATTTTTCAGCTTCAGGTTTTTATTCTTTCTTTTGCAACGAACATATTTTTTTGAAATCGCTGAGCACAAAACGAAAATAGTGTCCTGTTTCGTTGAACATTTCACGATTCCAAAACACTTTTCGGGATTGACTGATATTAGTTCGAGTTTTCTACTATGTTCTTTTCTCTTTATCCATTTTATCAAATTTGCACATTTTTTTGAAGATATTTCAATCATCGTAAGAATGTTATCCCGGAAGAAACTGAGAAACTGGAAAAACTAAAGCGGGAGAACGAAAAATTACGTGCCGAACAGAAAAAGCTACAAGAATTATTAGAGGTTCTTCAATTATAGTGTTTTGTTGGTTTGTCAGTAACTGTAAACAGTTTTAAATTTTACTTGTATGCTTGTTCTTATATAACGTTTCATTTTTGATAATGTGTTTGGCCATTTTTTGCATTCCAAACATGGATCCTTCTTGATAACAAGAATAGGATTGGTGATGAAAGAAGATCTGTCTTGCACTGATGTTTTTATGCTTCCTGCATTACAGCATTTTCAGGTTCCTGTAGTTACATTTTTCGATGATTCGAAGGTGCTACAAGAATGGTATGAAACGCTACATGCTTTGGGATTACGGAAACTTGATAAGCCATCACCTCCAATTGAAAATAAAGCGAAGTACCGATTTAAATTAATTTTCAAGATTTAATTTATGGGCTTGATTTGAACTAAATTTGAGGCATATTGACAAAGTATTAGGTTTTGCCACCAACTTTTGCGATTCATTTTTTGGAAGCGACAGAATAGGGTAGTGTGTCAAGTAGATGTGATGATCTTAATAAATGCGAAAAGGTTTTGCAATGAAATGCAAAAATAATGAGGGAAGTTGCACAAATTTTATAATAGTTGTCATCATTTATGCTTTTTTTTTCAGGAAAAGCACGAGAAAATTTCAAAATTTTCTAGCACCAAAAAGTCCTTCCACCAGCAAAGCTTCGACATCAGCAAAAGTGCCCACAGTGAAAAAAAACTCATCAGACAATGTTGCTATCGAGGGAATCGATCTGAAAATAAACTTCTGTGATGAGTGTAAAAAGGTTTGTATAATCTTCATCAAAATATGCAGCAGTAAAATGGTCTGCTTTGGTTGAAAAATGTGTTCTACAGTGTTAACTCGGACATAGTTTTTCGTTTGATCTCATACATCAGCAATATGGTTGATGTTCTCTGAAGAACGATATAGTTCAATGTACTGAACATCGTTTTTTTATTTCATTTCATGTGGTAGAATCGAGAAGTGTGAACAGTGGACTGGTGAGGTATCGATTTATTTGAAAATTGAGATTCTTAAAACTCAGTTCATGGTTTTAAAAAGAGTAATGGTTTCTTTCAGATGACTGAGCAACACTTGATGACTCAATGTGATAAATGCCATAAATATTATCATTTGGCATGTCTGGATCCTCCTTTGCTGAAAATGCCAAAGAAGACAAGTACTCAGGGATGGATGTGTTCGCTGTGTTGTGATGTGAGCAGTGACAGCGACGCTGAAATGGTGAGAGGAATTCAAAATATGCATTCATCATCAATTCTAAGAAAAAAGTTCAAACGCATTTGGCCAGAATATAAGCCAGGTTTACCGGAACACCATTCATTGCAGATTTTACTAATCTCACGGTAGTTACCTTATTATATGTTGTGAATTTTCGAACATTGGCTTCGTTAACAGAGAGTTTCAAGCGAGTTGTCTTTGAATAATTATATTTAACACTTTGAAGGCAAAAATATACAACGGTCCGAGAAAGTTACGGGATCGGTCTTTGGCTCCGGAAAAGCGAAAAGATACGGAAAAAGTAAGCAGATAAATATTATTGTTTTAAACGAATTTTTCGCTTGTTCTATTAATATGTGCCATGCATTATTTTGCAAGCGGAAAGCTGAGCATTCAGAACCGATGGCAAATATCAAAATAAAATTTTCACTTTTCTGGTTTATATACCTGAAATAAAAAATATGATTTGAATTAACATGCCCCACATTTCCTGTTCAGAACATACGGCAATTTTTGTGAGCTTGCAAAAAGTAAAATAATTTTTATATGTGTTGGGAAGAAAGAGAAAGACTACCTCTAATTGTTTAGTGCAGTGTGTCCTCCGTGGAACACTTCAAAAAAAAGAAAATTACATTCTAAAAGTAATAAGATTCAGCTGTAAATAAGCGTAATAGACTGCTTTTTTTTATTTTGGCTCGGATGCAATCGAATGAATCGAATTTTTAGGTCTGTGAGATCCTTTTTTAATAATTGCCATTTTTTAAGAACTTCGTGATATTTTCAGGCTTTACCAGAAGAAACAAAGGAAACTAGCAGTTCTAGCCTTACGAACCACTCAACCCCGACAGCTGTTACTCGTAAACGACGCATCTCAGATCGTTCAAAGAAAAACTCATTTAGTGATTTAAACGGGATCCATCAGCACAATAATTCGGTTTGTTTTCATTATCTCTGTTTAAGCAGGAACTAATTTTTCAGAGCAAGCTTTATAACTTTATTCCTTCAGGAAGGAGGAGCTGACTAACGTTTTACAAAACGGGATGCATTCAACTTATTTCATAATGCGTGTGTTTTAATTTTCAGTGAGGTTTTAGTCTCAGCTTAAAATTTAGTTGGATAACTGCTTAAAAAAAAAACGGTGATTTTAAGGTACTTTACTTTCATTGCATTACATGTGATACTTTAGCTTGCGAAAAGAATTCCTAGCTTATCACCGGTGCCTCACATGCCGAAACGAAAGCGTCGTCGCAGTGTTAATTCGTTGCCGCCCACACTTCCAAAGTTCAAATCAAGTGAAACTGCTCATTTAAATGAGGTTGCTCAAAACTAAAGTGAAAAGATACTCGCCACACTGAAGTTTTTAAAAAGGATTGTGATTTTCTAGTTTATTTAATTTTACTGTGAAGAGTTGTAAAGAGGTGAAGTTTTCTTTCAATTTTTAATAGTTGTATTTCAAAAAGCAGTTTTTCCTTTAACACGTCTGTCCTTCTTTTTTCGTTTCTGTTAATTGGATTTCACACATGTTTCGTTCATGGTATCTTCTGAAATCAGTTGTTCTCAACTTTTCTTGTATACTTACTGACATACCTCGGGAGTAATACTTTCTGTTCAGGATTTTTGGTTATTTAAATTTTGGGGGAGGGGAGGAAGGGTAAGATAGGTTTTCGTACATTTAGCTGGTTAAAGTTTAAGAATTATCGAATCTATACTGTACCTTTCGTTTTACAATATGCTTTTTTTGAACGATGTAATACAGTGTATCTAATATTTAGGCAACAGTGAAAAATATTTGCTCAATAATACAAGCTATTTGCTTGTAATTATCCTTTATCCAAAATGTCCTTTTACTGGCAGAGAATGTCTGTATTGCAAATCACAAATTTTGCAACAAAAGTCAAATATAAGCAGAGAGTGGAAAACAATGCTTAGCATATGCTTGACAATTTCTAATCTATAACTTGTGAGTCTTGGAGCTCTGAAACGTTGAATTAGTGATCTGAGGATTTATTGCCGGATTGTGTTCTTTGCAATCTAACAATTATTTTATCGGTACGTCTGAATCTTAGAGTTTCTAATTTTTATTCCTAAATTCTGTTTTTTTTTCCTTCTAGTCCCTTGGTTTGTCCGTTTTGTAAAATCTACGATTGAGACGCTTTCTCTTTTCAGATTTGCCAATGGGTAAAATAAGATAAAGTAGTGTAAATGCTTTGGGGAAAATAATGGTGAGTTATAAGGGTGGGCGGTTATTGTCTGACGGTAAATGCGATATCGTTTTACAATGATCTTTGACAAAATATTAACGATCAGCATCGTTGAAACTAGCCATTTATATCAAAATTCATCAAATTTTCATTCCTCTGAAACTTATTTTCTTCTGCTAATCCTTCTGTATCAGTCTAATAACAACACTTTTTTTTCTTGAATTTTCACTGAAGGAGAAAGGAAAATATTGTTTTCGGTGTGAATAAAGAGTTATTTCATTGAGAGATGAAGTTTCTATGAAATAAACGTAAAAGCGCCTGTAATAAATTAAGAATTCCTTCAAAAGAACGTTTCAAGGTGTTGAAATCGCAACATAAACGGATGGCTTATAGTTTCCAAGCAGAAGTGTGTCGGAGATCTTTCTTATTCTAATCCGTTTGTTTAGTGGTTGAGGAATTTTTGACCTGTTATTGCCATTAACTCATTAAGACATGGTAAGTATTCCCACTTCAGGATTAATCGTCATTGTGAAATGCATTCTAATTAGTCCTCATTACTGGAAGATCATCCGCTGTCGGCGGCTATGAATGCTAGTTGCATTTGGCTTATTATCAAAAAACAAAAAGAGAAAGAAAGGATTAGAAGTTGATTTCCGGGAAGGATTTTTGCTGGAAAGCTAATTTCCATCGAGGATCTTTTTTAATCCATTTTTTTCTAAAATTGTCTGCAGTACTGAAAACTGTTATACGTTAGATGTCGAAATTGGGAAATGCAGCAGTGGCGGCGACAAGGGCGCTAGCAAATGCCAAGCGTTTTCCCCTCGTACTATACAAGGGGATTCTGAGGTGTGTTAATTTGAGTTATATTTGTGTAAAGCGAAATATGAAGTATTTCGTTATTGTAATAATCATTTAGTCTGGTATGCTTTGAATGGTGACATAACAGCAAACTCAAATAGGACTAGGACCTGCTTACTTCTATATTAATTCATCCGTATTAGTTATTACTAGGTTTTTTTTTTTTGTAATTTTCATTACCTGTCAAATGAGTTTGTCACGAATGGTCGTTCCATTTGTATTTCATAACGGTAAGTTTAATCTGGAGTATTGATCCTTGAAATCGAAATTTCATATAGAGCATTCAAGAAAGTATCTTCACCGGGAAGTTAAATATACATAAATTTTGATTCCTTCGGATATTTCATATTACTTTATTACTCGGCATTGTTTAATATGCATGTTTTATTACTACTCACGTTTTACTTTCATTTCCTTTTATTATTTTTCATTGTATTTGTATTTTACTGTTATGAATCACGCATGGAAATACACTATTGACAAGCGTTTCAAACAACTTTATGTTCGACTTTCGCTTGCTACTTTCACAATTTAAGATTTAGGCGAAGTACAGTTTCATCGTTTTAGATGACAGAAACTTAATTCTTTTATTTTGAGATTACATTATGGCTTGCCGAAAGAAATGCGCATGATTGGTGATCAGTATATAAAAAATGAATTCCGAAGACATAAAAATGTTTCACCAGAACAAGCTGTGATATTCTTGAAGGAATGGAAGGTGAGTATGCACTATATGATGTGTGTAACATATTTTTTTAAAGTATTCACTTGAAAACTTCTGATAAATTAATTTTATGATATAATGCTCTCTCACTCATTAGTATTTCAAATACTTGATAAGGTACTTTATTTGTGAGGAATTTGTTGTATCAGTGGGTAGGAAGTGAATTGAGTTTGATAGATCTTATTTAGTTTATAATATCTACCAATTATTTGTACATCTAAAGCTCAGACGATCGATATCGTCGATGCTATGAACAGTGGCAATATTGCTGTATGATGTGGAATAACAAAAATGAATATTAATGGTATTTCTATCATTCAGGAATACTCAGTAGTCTTATCAAAACAGCTATCTAATCGTGGCATTGCAAAAGGGATGTTAGGCGTCAATTTGAATTCCACATTATTGGATAGTTTACAAGAAGGTCAACTTTGGCAACTATACAATTTAAAACTGGAAGCAGAAAAGCCCAAAAAGTGACAGTAGCATTAACAACCGATTGTTAGTTGTAAAAAAAAACTATTATTTGTAAAATACTTGTGGAATTTAAATTTGCTATTTTAGGATTTTTTAATGCATTTATTGAAGTTACTTAAAGAATTTGAAAATCTCAAGCTGACAGGAGAAGAAAATCGGAATACGAGGAAAGGGTCGTATAGAAATTATTGATGGAAATGTTCTAGATTGTTTAGCAGTTTAGTTAAATTTAGCGAGAACAATTGTTTTTGAAGATATCATAAGCATTATTGTTGCCACTAATCCTGCTATTTTCCATTAACTTGTTATAAAGTAAATAAAACAGTCCAGTAACTTGTGGAAGTTTTAAAGCAAATCAAACAAACCCTGTTGCTCCCGTTTAAGTGAATCGTCAGAGGGTCTTGTAACTTATTAAGGAAAGCCTATGAAATGTTCTGAGTGTCACATAAATGATATCAGCAAGTTTTGGGGACAAGTTATTTAATGGAATCTTAAATGGGCGTTGATTATTTTAAGGTGAAAGGATTGTTCCCACCCGTAAATATTTGCCTTTCAAATTATCTGTTTTTGAACGCATCAGTCTTACGTTCGTTTGGTGAGTAATTACTCATTTTGATGAATTTAGTCACAAAATTTTGATAATAAAGTGTAGCACTTCAAAGTCTTAGTAATTAGTCTCCACCATATAAGATAAGATACTAGTATCAGTACATCTAGTTCAGCAGCTTCAAGTTATTTATATATTTTTAGCCTATAAAAGGGTGGACTTAATGCAAATTGATAGCAAGTATTCTGTGTGAAGAAGGATGTGTCACAAAACCGTTAACAAAAATGGGGTGACAGTTCAACGAAAATGAATTATTGTCAAATAGTGATTGATAGCCATGCTTTCAAACTTTTGAAAATGAGTGTAGTAATTTCAGAGCTCTTTAAGAATTCAACAAAGTATTTGAATTGAGGACTAACCAATGACTTTGATGAATTTATTATACCAAAACTCAACCAAATTAGATGCTGTTCCATCTTCATTAATCAGAAAGAGCAAAACTGAACATCCGATCATATATCAAGCACAGATTTATATACTACCATTGCAAAAGTACTTTGTTAAACAATATTTTTTTGAAAAACGTTTTTTTTTGTTTTTTTAAAGAACCATGAAAAATGCGAATATTTTTCGAAATGAAATATTAGAATTTAATCAGTTCATACGAATGAATGCTAAAGATGATTTACAGGTAGTTTCAGGTGATAATTTCCATTTGGAGAAAATTCAATCCCTTGAATAAAATATTAGTACCAAAAATGGACTTCAATATTCCTAACTCATTTTCGAGATCATTTCTAGCTATTTCAATTCGTTCATTGGAAAATACCATTATTGATTCACTTTAATTGAAGCTTTAAAGTATAACTACTTCCGGACAATTAATTTATTACGTGTCTAATATGATTTATAAATTCACAAATAAAATCTTTCATGTTCTCACTTAATCAATGTAAAGAAATTTGCCAGTGGGAAAAAAAAGCATCTTGGAATTGCTCGGGAGTTAATTCTCCTTCAATTCAATTCATCTGATTCTTCTTTAGTTGTTCCAGAATAGTAGTCCTTCTTTCCTCTATCCACTTTCTTACTTATTTTTGTTAGATTTGTTGATTTTTATATCTATTATCTTTAAGCATTATCTATCCTTTGTTGCTATATATCTAAGTATATATGTATATGTATATGTATATATATATATATATATATACTTGGATCTAAATAAACCTCACAAGGACAAAGTAAACAAGGTAAAGGTTATCAAGTTACTTGCCAAACTTACAACCTGAATAACTTCTGTTTTGCACTCCCAAATTCCACATTTATAAGTATACTTAGTTCCATTACTCGTTCCACGTAATTTATCCATTTTTCATTAATTTCCTTTTATATGAATAGATTTATTTGTTAAGACATTTTCTTAAGTAATGGTTTAAAAAAATCGACATCATTTTTCATTTCCCGTGACACTTTAAGTTTCCTATACATTTATCCAAAATCTTTAGTTTGATTTCAAATGCTGTAAGTATATTGATAGAATTTTTACTTACTCCAATCTAATGCAAGAAAAATATGCAAATTCTTTAGACTGATTTTTTTCTTTTGAAAATTTCAGCAAAATGAAATGTACAAATCGTTTGAAACATTTTGGAGCATTTTTAAATATTGCTTTGATTATAAAATTATATCTTGCATAAAGCACTGTTTTGTTTCCAAAAGTCATAAATTTATTTATTTTTCATGACAAAAATTTTGTCACAGCAGAGAAGATGTCATGGAATAAAATTATGAAGAAGAATAAAAAGTATTTCTAAGTAGGAATATTTGATGAAAAAATTTCCTTAAATATCTAACCTCCTGTTCTGTAGTTTAACATCTGTCAATAAAGTCTGCAGTGAAGTGTACAAAATGAGAGAGAAAAAAAACAGTTCCCCGCTCGGATAATTAAGAGCAAATATAATTCCTATAAATGAATTACTGATTTGCTTGTTTAATTTGAAAACACTACCTACCTGCTCGAAAAACATCTGGAAGCTTAGCTGTTTGATATTTACAAATCGAAGAATTAACTGTCCATATCATTTTTCAAAATATTCACTTTAATAGAATCTGAAAGAAATAGTGCAAAGACACAGAAACAAACAAGAAATAGGTAAAGGAAAGATTAAGTGAAATGACACAAATTACAACCGCTTCATGAGAAAAAAATCAAGACAGAGAGGAAGATGGTACGAAAAGGCGAAAAAAAAGAATAAGTGATTTTTTTAGAATACTGATACTTGAAATTTCACGATAAAGTTCTTCGAACTGGTTGCACAACTGATTCATTCTCATGGATTACTTCCATTTTCTTCAACTGCACCGGTTTCAACAGGTACAAAATTGCTGTTAAAGCCAAAAAGATACCTGGGAATGAAGGCATGACCTATTCTAACATTTGAAAGTGAAAAATGAATATTTTGATGCCTCACTGAATACTTTAACGCATATCGTTTTCTTTTCAAAAAATAATGTGCATAAAAATGAAAAAAAAAAAGTTGAATCGAAAAATGAAAAGTGACCTTAGAAAATTGAAATTAGCAGTTATAGATTAAAAATTAAAGATCATATGTTGCATACAGGTATGTATTATCTAGTCCCTAACATGGCTGGTACTCAGTGTTTCCTTGATTTAAATAAAATTTCCGAAACCATTACTTTCACTTTAAACTTTAACGTCAAATTTGATAAATTAAATCAAATACCTGGAGCAATATTTGATTTGATTAAATTAGGGTAAAAACAGAAAATGGCAAAAAATGAATACAGCAATCCACGTCTAATACCATCAAATTTCAAAATCATTGTAAATACACGGCAACAAACACCTTCAACTCTGCAAAAAACAGAAAAGAAACAAAAAACAAACAAATGTTTAATTTTCACTTCAATAAAAGTTTAAATCAGTGCTGTTATTGTTCGGCATCATTTCTTCCCTTTTTGAAAAAAATATTTTATAATTTTAATTATAACTCTATAAAAAATAAAACTGTCTTTTATGGACAGTATTGCATAAAATGATAATAATCAGTAATCAATCATATATTTGAAACGGTAACACTAAAGCCAAATAAAAACTTATCACCGATAAAAAATATTTCCTTTTCTATGAAATAAACAGAAATTACATAGAAAAAAAAGCAGATAAAAACTATTTAAAAAGAAGTCAATATTGATAGAAATGAGTGAAAAAAAGAAAACTTTAATTAACACAATAGGTACAAAGAATAAACAAATAAATAAATAAATGTACTGATTAAACATACAAAAAGAAAAAAAATCAAACCCGCAACAAAGTCGGATAATATAGCCTGCTTCAAGCAAAAATAAAGGGATTCCAATGAAAGCCAAATATATTCCAAAAAGAAATGAATTGATTGATAGAATTGAGCCAATTGATGTTAACCAAACTACTCAAATGATTCTCAAAATTTATCACATTACATGATGCTTTTATTAACCACTTAATCAATTCCAATTTTATTTCATATTATGGACAGCCAAATGAATGCTCTGTTATACCTTACTGTTGATATAAAATAAACATCCAGTAGATAGATTAAATCATGTTTTTATCATAGTGAACAATGTTAATAAGGCTGTTACGTCCATACTATCTAAATTTGAGCAAATGCTTACTTCTTATTAAGAACTATCGTATCATGTAAGAAGGTTTTCAAGTAAAATGTTTTGTTTAACATGTCTAAATAACTTTAACATCAAATCCACCTAATTTAGAATATAAGCAATAAAAACGATAACCATTAAGCTAGGAATTCCGAACCAAATTTAAATATTACATACAGATTTTTTAAGGATTACTCAATTGAATTCAAATATTTTTTTTCGAACATCATTTTAAAAACCGATAAAACATAACAAACATTAGAACTAAAAAGTATTTTTTCTAATCCAAATAATACAGCTGCCAATTAATCTGTATCAATATTTCTAAATGCTGTTAACTGAAAGATCCAATCTTGTTGGAAGTACACTTTTGAAAAATGAAACAGTGTAAAGGATGTAAGTGGCCAATAAATGGAAGAGCATTAATTTTTTTGATTTCTTCAACCTTAGATAATAAAAATAATCCGGTAAAGAAGTTTTTACAGAATTGATGCTAAGTTGATGAAGAATGTACGATCAATTTGTCCATTATACGTTTACCTAAGAGTGATTCTAACATATTCAAACCCTCACCTAAAATTGTTAACAAACCAAAACCCGTACGTATCGGTGTCAAATATTTACAAAGGTAGTAACGATATGTGTACGTACCACCCGTTTCAGCTGAACCACTTCCAATATTGGACATTACAAGTACCTGAAATAATGCTATTCGCAAAATTTACAAATAAGAATGTGAACTTTGGATATTTGAATTGAATCCCAATTCATCAGTGATAAGAAAGGTTACTCTTTCAAGGCATAATAGAAGATTAAAGATTTCAAATGATTAATTTTGAACTTTACAACAGCTCATGGTTATATCATAAGATGTAAATTAAGTACCACATAATCAGATGTTTTTAGAAAGAAAACAATTATCAAAAATCATTTCAACGATCATAAAATTGATATTTTTATTCATTCCCAAAGAAATAAAAGCAAAGTATTTTGTAAGGAAAGTTAGCTATGAAAAATATATCACTGAAGAGAAGAGTAAGGCATTTATAGATCAGAATAGTGAAAGAACAAAAGGATTAGCCAAATAAACAAAAGAAATACATTGATAACTACAAAAGGGATTTCTTATCGATGACTTGGATAATGTCTTACCTAACAACGTGATTAAAATTCCCTACTTTTTACTCTTATTCCTCATCTTTCCCTCCACAAAAAAAACAAAGAAAAAAATCACATTATACAAAACATACCCAATGATAATCAAGGCGTAATAATGCACAAACAAAATAAATTCAGAAGAATTGAAATTAGCCATACGTCCTAGAGAACAAATTATAAAATCTCGAAATATTTTTTTCTAGAAATTGCTTCAGCAACTGCGCTGGCCAACAAATAGAAAAAAAACAAATACTGAAGTATCACTTCCTTTTATTACCATCCTTCAATTTTAACTGTGCAGCATGCTTATTGGAAACAGTCTTCGTCAAACTATTTGCATGCTTTCGTCTGTCATTCCTGTAAAAAAGATTATGCTTAATCTTCTGACAGAAAATGGAATTCGATTTTTGACGGAAATCAGGATAATCCCTGATTTTAGCTATTTCTGATTACAATAAAATAAACGACAACCTTTTTCGAATTTAATTTCCTTAACCAATTTAAGTGCTGCTTGATTTATCCGAAACATAATCTGTACCTGCTCATCACTACCTGATCTCGACATCCTTTTCCACCCTCCCAGAATTGTGATTTTATACGGGTAACATTCTTGTTGCAATTGATGCACGGTTTGGCCTTTTGAAATGGCTAAATATCAATTACAATAAATGGAACTTTATAAAACCATGAAAAATTGCACTTTTAAAAACAATTCTATATAATAAAAGTTACAATGGACAACCAGATCTTCAGTCTTCACTTCCTTCTCTGCCATAATGAACTAATATTACCTGTTCTTTGCTACAGAAACCACAGACCATTCGGTTAGCCAGCTTCATTTCATGTTCCTTTTCAGCATCGTCATGACACAAATCACAGGGATAGAGCTTTCCACAGCAAGAAAATCTATAAAACTGTAATGTTTGAGACTTGGAAATTTCAAATCAAAATTCCAAAGTAATTTTCAGAAAAATACTTTTCGATGGAAAATAAACGAAAACCTAAACCATCGGTAACTTTTCTTGTAATGTTTGCATGTCCCATTTTCGGGGAGTGGTTGACCTTCAACTAACGCCATCGATCGTTCCATTTTCTTTTTTGCTGGAAGAAGAAGGAAAACACGGACATGAATAAAAATAAATAACTCTAATAAATAAATCATAAATAAATAGAGGAAACGCAATGGAGTGGCATAACACTAGTATTAATAAAAAGATTGAAGACCTATGTAAGGCATAATTGGTAATCAGTACGACTGTATCATTACAAGAGATGCAATTCCCACATATTGTTTGACTATTCTTGAAATGAATTCTGTATTTGCTTCGATTTCAAAGAATAACTTCAAGCATCATTGTTATACTCGCAATACTATATTCCCATCACTAGTAACTGACAAAGGATTCATGATTTTTCCATCATTATATAAGCTGGTAACATTTACTGTTTGTTAATTTGGCTACTTAATGCAGTCTCCGTTTCACATAGATGTTAGGATACATAAGAACTCCTTCCCGCCGTCCTGAAATCCCAAATCCGACCAATGGCACAACAATCTTCTTGACAATCAATTGAAATAACATGATGAGAAATATTAAGTACTTTAGGGAAAAAATTATTCGACTTACTTTGTCTTTTGGTATAGAGTTATCTTCCTTCGCAATCGAATTAAAATCACCAACAAATCGAATATTTCTAATTTCAAACTCACATTTACTATGGCAGCCATAACACCAACTCTTATTGGCTACTCCATATGTGAGATTCTAAAAACATCGATAAAGTTCAATTAATTTTTATAAGAAAATACTGAACGATTAGAGAATTCAAAATAACTGCAAAGATCTGTCAGAATAACTGTCATCAGTCTAACTAATAACAATTATAAAGTACAGCATCTTCATTGTAATTTGAAAAAGAATATATCAGAGTACCAAAGAAGGTTTCAGGAAACATGCCGTATTTTACGGCAGACACTGCCAATAACTGCAGTGGTTACTACGAATATTTTTCAAATTTTTTTTTAAATTTATATAATACAGTGAAGACGAAAAAACGCCAGATTCTTAACTATTAATTCATTCAACCATTTTTTCACAACTTGACCACCAGATGAGCGAATTAAAGCAGAAATATAACTAAAAATCAACTTTTCATTATTTGATTTATAACTAAATCTCTAGTGCACAGTTCAACCAGTCAGGTACTGTAATAAACGTTGGGAAGAAAAATTTATTTGTCAAGAATCAAAGCTCTTAATAATAATCTCATAGCACATTTTTATACGTTAAACGCGAAGATACTAAGAAATACCTCAGCTGTAGCCTCCTTACAGCACTGCAAGCAAGTATAAGATAGTTTTGATGAAAGTATCACACAGTCTAATGGAACACAACCTTTTGGTTCAAGCAATGCGATAACATTTGAATTTTGATGGACAAGCTGAGGAGAAATATAGATTGAAGAGCCATTTAAGCACCTGAAATACATTTCGTAATTCATCTTTCTATAAAAACCTCACTTCAGAGCAACTTGTCTCAGATTATTTTATTTGTTTTTACCAATAAAAGCTACCCATACATTTTTCGAAGATTTTGTTTAGACAAATATTAAATCACGGGTCAATCACTGCTAATAATTCGAATAATTCATACAAATGTCAAGGACCTACTTCTGGCAGTGTGATATAGAAAGTTGTTTCGCTGAACATATCAGGAAAGATAACGCGCCACATTTTACACACCGAATGCTTACAGCCATAGTGATAACAGATAATGTAGCAATATTTCCACTCAAGTCGTTCCAAAAAACACGAGCCTCAATGGGTTTCGATTTCGATGGTTTTTCAGCGCTAAGTTTTCCCTGCAAAAATATATATATATAGCGATGCAAAAGAAAATTTTCAACGAAAAGTGAAGTATTTTTATCCAAATAAAAACATTACTGAGATAGTTTGGAAATAAGATAAAGCACTGCTTTAATAAGTTCCCAATTAATTAATTACGTACTTTGTCCTTGAAACACTGCACTGTTACTTGTCACAAAACAAATGAACTGCTAAAAACTATTTATGTTCTTTGGATTTTTAGATCTAACCATAACGATTCCTACCTCGGATGAAGGCACAATTCCTGCTCTATCATAATTATATCCTTGCGTTATTTCATCATTATCACAAACTACTGCTTTCATTTCATTAGTCTGGAAAAAAGAGGATTTTGATAATTTCAACAAAGCTTAAAATCACGACAAATAAGTCATGAGTGGCAAGAGCAACTGAATTTACCAAAAAAGTTGAACAGCAATACCTTGATATCATTATTCTTTTGGTTGATTAAATTTGGAAAACTCGCTTGATGCAACTTAATGCCATCCTTTTCAGCTTCAGTGATCATTTTTGTTTTTCTCAAACCTTCGACAAAAAGTCTGAAGATATTACGATCCAACCAGCGAATGAAAATTTTGCCGAGACCAACATAAGTATTGCATTTTTCTGCTTCCATAAACTTCTCCTGTCATTAAAACTAAGCTAGTTCCTTTTGAACAGTATTCACAACCAATAATTTGAATACTTTTTTCCTGAACCAATCAAATTTGTAATACTATATATATACGTCAAAGGAAAGTATAAAAATATATAAGCTAGGCTAAACTTTACTCGAAATAAATTGAACACTTCCACTTGGACTATCGCAATTTCTACGACCATGCAGGAGTTGTATATATATATATATATACATATATATTGACAAATTTATAAAATTTTTTATTTTCGATTTTCCCGTCTCGTGTTCCAGTGTATGTACTTATTAGATAGCACTTAATTCAAAATCTCTCAATCTTTCCTTTACCACATTTTTGTTTGATCAACTGAGTTAATTTCCTTACTATATTTAAATGGTTCATCCCTTCCTAGAATACTAACCTCTAGAAATTTTTTAACTTCTTTGTTGAAGCATGAAACAAGTGGAACAGGTAAAGTTGATTCACTTAAAGTCACCATAATCGATTCACATGGATAATGCTCTGGAATCCTAAGCCGTAATCTCACAGCTTTTACATCGAAAACCTAAAACTTGACTGCCATCTCATAATTATTTCCATTTTGCAAAACAGAAACATTAAACTTTGCTTGATTTCTGTCAGTTTTATATATAAAAAGAGAAAGAAATGCAAGCTGGGTCACTGTTAAACTTTACTTGCAAAAAACAATATTCCAGAAAACAAACCCACTCAGGATCTGTTATTTTGTATTCCAATTCGATGAAATAAGAACTGCCATCGTATGCAAACTTTGCATCATGAAATCTTCGCCCAAAATAATTAATTTCAGAATTCCTGATATCCAACTGTTCCTTTTTTCCGACATCGTTTCTACTTATTGTTGTTATATTTGGTTGAACTATGACTCTCACAGGTTTTACACCTGTATGTGATGGAAGAGGATAAGAACTGTTATCCTTAATTTCATTCGATATGTGTAAAAAGCGGCAGTATTCCCCAAAATAACAGGAATTCTCAGCAGCAAAGTATTTACAGACTTTTCGTTTTGAAGCCTTCAGCGACAATACAGCAATAGCATCATTATTCCTTTTTTTTGCCAAATCCGAAATGAAAATATATAAATGAGGAATTTATCGCAACAAAAGTAATTAAACCTTAAACTGAAATATCACCGAAAGACTGATCACCGAACTAAATGATCATAAAACGTTAACCACTGCACTATTTAGTTCTTTCATACATCTAAGTTACGAGATCAATAATTAAAATTACTAAAATCCTTAACAAATGTCAAGTAAGTGGAAATGTATTTAACTATCAAAACAATCAAAGAATATAAATAATCTACTGAGCTTCAAAACTAGCCAATGTTTGTTCAACGAGACATCCTAACAAAAAGAATATAACTTTATATGTTCAATTCGTCCTTACCTATTCTAAACTATATGATTGCCCAAAGCATTCTCTCTGCTTACCTTCTTCCTTTACATTTCGACTTGATATAGGTTTCAGAACAGATGATACAGTAGCACAACTATGTCCTGCATTTTGAATTTCATCAGTATCAATAATGGTTGATGGCTTCTTTTTCGGATCATTTCGAAATCGTCGATGATTATATTGAGCACTTTGAGGCGCAGCACCACGGAAATAACCAGCAGTGGAAGATTTTTTTTTCGATGAGATTTTTTTTCCAGTTGCTGTTCTTTGTTGATCCGCAGACATCAAAAAAAAATTAACTAAAAAGTAATGAAAATCAAAGGAAACCGATTTCTTATTGCTATTCTTTTGTCTCTACTTTAAAAAAAAAAAGAAATATCAAGATATGCATGAAAAGATTACCGGTAACTTCAAAACGTGCCAATAATTAGACATGTAGCGATACTAGTACATTTTTACTGATAATGTTAACATCATGCTTATTACATGTATCACTTTTCTCTGTATCATATTGGCGGGAAACGAAAAAAAATGACAAATAACAACGAATAGATTGGATAGTATCGTAATCACTTTTGGAAAATCATTTTGTTTCTCTTTAAAACAATTTAACGATTAAACAGAAAGGAGAGGAATCTTTCTTATCAGTGGGACATACTTCATGCCGACTTTATGCTCCACCTTTCGAGGCTGCTATTTCCATCACCCTAAAGCTGAAGCTTAGAAAAAATTACCAAGGTTCTTTGCTTATGTAGGAAAATCGTTTCAAACCACCGAATTTTTTAAAATTACAAGGATAAAGATGTCATCAAGTAGGCTAAATAAGAAGTAAAATAGATATGACTTAGTGAACTTTGTCTAGTATTCATGAAGAAATAATCATTGTTTAATAGCAAAAAGAATTAAGCAAGTTTTGATTGATTTAGAAATAAATTCAAAACTAGCATACAATTCGTTTCGAGCTTCAACTGTATGGCTAAGACAAATATTGCAGCAATAATGAACACAACATTTTATTGATCGGACAGAAAGAAGATGAATAAGGCGCAACCTTATCAATTAACAAGTAGGAAAAGTAGCGAAGTGAGATCGGAAAATACAAACGAACTTTGACGTAATGCTTAATTCCTGAATAACTTTATTTGAATTGTTTCTCAATTTTTTTCTCCGAGAACACAACTGATATACTATCCAAGTTGCAGAAAAATCAAACAGCTGCCAGCAAGCCATTAATCCAATCGACTATCGATAATTGCACTATCAGTTAATCATATCTTTATATCATATTGCTGGTAAGTGTTTTACGTACCAGTGGATATAACTTCAATGAACTTTCTACGGCTACAGTAATAGCATGCCTTAACTGGTGAGGTTCTGCAATGCCAACAAATTCACAACATGCTAACTGATTTAGTGACGGCATCATGCCAACGGTAACTGAAAGATGCGTATTTCCGGAGAATTCCTCTGAATCAGGTATAGAAGAAAACGGATATGAGTTAGTTGACGGGTCAACAATGATACGGCCATCTGTCAACATAACGATATGAGCTGCTACACAAACATCATAAACTTGGATACCAGAATCGACTAAAGCTAAGGAAGAAGCTATTAAAGAAGCCGCCAAAACACCACCATCATCATTGAGAACCGTTATTTCAACATCAATCTGTGCTTTACAAAATAACTCCAAACAAACAATTGATCGTAAAGCCGATTCCACGGCATTACGCGTCCCATTGATTTCTTTATTTGAAACTGAGGAAGAATTTGAGCCTGAAATTCTAATGAACACATTGAGAAGACAAATAACTGAATACTCATTCAACTAAACATTTGGTAATTTTCAATTATACAATTGTCCTACCGACGAAAACACAATCATATAATACATTTTACGTAACCTCATATCATTATATCGTGTTCCTTTTTAATTTTATCATATGTGTCATTATTGATCTGATAAATGCGACAATGTGTTAGACATCCTCGAGAAGATTAATAATAAAATGATTCAATTCGTTTGTTCCGGTAAAAGACTTCACCAGAAGATGGAAAAAAGAAGGATGGCACCAAATAAAATCTTGAAGAAGAACAAAACGACTGTTGGCGAGAGAGAAGTAAAAGTAGGCAGTCCAGGATAAATGCATTCACCATGACCGTTACTCTTCAGTGATATCATAATTATTATTTTAGAAAAGCAAAAATATGGGTCACACTCATATTTCTATCCCTTAGTGATGCTGCTTGATTGCTCGGACAAAACGTTACTTTTTTCATAACTACGAATAAGTTTTCTTAACTACTAAAATGTAATACTTCTAATTAGAATTCCTTAATCGCCCCAGTATTTGGGCTTCATAGATTATTTTGGAAAGCTGAGAAAAGAAAAATTCCAAATAAATACCTGAGACGGCATTGCCTTCCGTTGAAATATTCTTCAGAAAAACATAAACTTGCCCTTCCGTTGGATTAACATCAGCACTTTTCGTTATTTCTTTAGGACCATCAACTGAACAAATAATTTTCGTTGAACCAAATTCAACATAAACCGTACCTTTCTGATCATGCAAAGCACCTGTTTGCATTACAATAGATCGGAATGAATTCGATGCATTTTCCAAACTTGTTCCAACTTCAATATTTTCTGTTCGTTTTAAAAGATTATTTAAGGGTACCGGCTTCACCGAAGAATGTTGCATAGTCTGGAAAAGAAAGAAAAAAGTTGATGAACATGATGGATAAAAGAAGGACATAAAAGGTCTATTCGATCTTATCATTTATAAGATTACATCATCTATTCACGATTTAGAAAAAAAAAGAAGCCATCATCTATTTACGATTTTAGTTAATGTCACGCGTATATTTTCTACTGAAACGACCACTTGAAATTTCTTCTGCTTTTATAGCAATAAACTTTTATTCACTCCGATAAATGCTTAGTTAGTAAAGAAATCTTGACAAAATCAATGCATCATGATAGAAAACTAAGCTATATAACATGTGCAGAACAAACATGAAACTTAATTTTGCCGCAGAACAAGTAAGTCTCAATACAATGTCTAAATCACGTATTCCGATGCAGAAATTGAAAAAAAAAGGAGGTAAAATAATCAAAAGAAGTTGACTAATCCATATAACTTAAGTCATACCAATCACAAATCCTTAGTATTGCGGGACCACCTTGTTCCAGATTTGGTCTGTACTTTATTTCCAGCCGCCTTTGTGGCTTGTCCACAATATTCAAATGTGGCCTGTCCATGATATTCAAATGTTGCCTATCCAAGGTGTCCAGACGTAGCTTGTCCAAAATGTCTAAATGTAGCTTTTCCAAGATGTCTAAATGTAGCTTATCCACAATATTTAAATGTGGCTTGACCACGATGTCCAAATGTGACTCATCCGTGATGTCCAAATGCGAAGAATACATAGCTACACGTGATACTTGTAACAGTTTTAAGTTGTAGATAGATGAAGAGTGAGGTAGAGGATGCTAGTTTTGCCAGTAGAAATTATTGCATTTTATTGAGAGAATAGGAGAAAAGAGTATTGTATTATGAGAGTGAGCAAAAGATTGATAATGTTCACTGAAAATGATGTGTTCTCGGATATAAAAAAAACTTCTAGTTACTGAAATGTAATAAAGTGAAACATGAATAGTAATGTATTTGAAAATAAAACAGGGATTGATGAAATTGTAAGAGATGCATGATATGTCGTGAAATAGTAAAGACTGTCAGATAATTTATTTGCCGAGCTCAGTGGTTGGATAATCAAACTCCAATCAAATCTATCCAAATGAAGCGCTTAGTGCGAAAGCGTTTGTGAGGAAGTCGATTTGTTTGTGAATACG